GGGCTGACTCCCCAAACCCTGATGGATCTTGTACCGGGGATGGGAAGTCAGCCCAGCCGGACTGACTTCCCATCCCCAGCGCTATGGCTGAAACATTTTGACTAGGCTCATTTTGTTTCAAGGCTGTTTCAACACCCTTTGTTTTGCTTTGATTTTACTGTTTCAGCCTCAAACTGAGTCAAAACAGTGTCGAAATGAAAGGGCCGGCGAAATTTCGCATGGCCCCAGTAAGCAGTCCAGTGCTTATGCAGTGGGTGCCAGCATTGCACCACTTCCATTGTTCTGGATTGGGTAACTAAGCAATGCAATTTTCAAGCAACTTGGTAATCAGTTATGAAGTAATTAAGACACTGGGGACTCTAGCAGATCTGCTTTAATTGGGAGAAAAGGTCTGAGGGTGTGGCATAGTCAGGACTCTCGCACATGTAGGGTTGGTGAAGACTTATTTGGGATGGAACAAGGGGGCAGTGGTATAAGTTATGCACAATGAGGTGGGGAAGCCTCTTTGTGAGTGGGGGGTTAAGGTCTAAAGCAGAGTTACAGAAGCATAATGGGATAGAAGGAGAAAAATTTAGATCAAGACTTTTAAGAGATTTTGGATTCTGTGTTTGATGCCTTAAAGGGGTCTCTTTCTGAGACCCTAATAAAGAGCCTTTGACAATCCTCCCCAAACCCACCAAAAATCCCCCAAGTGGAAAATCTTGGCCTTCTCATTTTCTCACCTATTAGCATATGACTACAGTTTCATAAGATTGCTGATCTAGCAACTTCCATGAAGTCCAAGTTGATTTGTTGACGGTAACGTTGCCAGAAGAAATTCTAAAATCAGAGATTAATATTTTCCCCACTGGAAAATATTTTAGCTGACATCCAGGCAATGGCCATCCTATTGATTCCAAGTACTGGAGAAAAGGTTACAAGCCTCTTTGTTACGAGACACTTTGCTGTTAAATTTAGATGTCCTATTTTCCTTATTCCCATTTCTTTGGCAGGGGTGTTCAGCCTTCCCTAAAAGGCCTTGTTTTATACAGTAAGTTGTGGTTTGCTTTTACCCCAACAGATATCTAAGCTTATAAGGTTTGTCTGCTACACTCAATAGCAGTATCAGGCTTCAATCTTAAACAGTTATCATTGGTGTTTTATGTATGTTCTTGGCTCCCCATCTGATGGCTTTCCATGTCCTTTGGGGTTTTGGAGTCTGCATTACATCATGTCACTTAGTAGTGAGGAAAGTGTAGCCATCTGCTTTAGATTTCTTAGCTGCATGGTATAAAGGTTCATTGCATTGCCAGCCAGTCTCTTTTTATGTGCCCTGCAATCCTCCAAAAGGAACATGCTCTAATCAATTTGTTCAGCTCTTTTCTTGCTTGTGAGACCTTCACAATGTTGTGCCCACGTCTCAGCGTTGCCAGGATCAGGCTAATTTATAAAGAAAAGTGACTAGGTAAAAATGCTGCCACTGGACCTAGAAAGGGATATGTGATTTTTTTTTTTTTTTTTTTTTTCCTGTCCTGCAAAGCTTTTCTCTGTGTTCAAAATGTTCCCATTCTACATGGAGCCAAAGCCAGGAACTTTGCAAAATAAAAAACCCTAGAGAGGGTCAGAGCCACCCCAGTGGGCTCAGTGTTCGCGACACTTACCTGTGATGCAGAAGACACAGGTTGAAGGCTCTCATCTGCCTGATTTGAAGATGTGAGCCAGGATGGGTCATCTCCTAGCTGAGTGCTCTTACCACAAGGCTCTTTTATGAGGAGATCGTTCTTGTTTTCAAACAAAATTGCATTCTGGAAAAGCCCTGAACATTTAGAGAGAACTTTCCCACTGAAAGGTTGAATGAAGTTGGTAGATCCCCCCCAAGTTTTGCTTCGGGTGGATGCATATGTTCCAATGAGGGAAAAAACCCTGTTTCCTGAAATTCCAGGCCAGCTCTGGTTGCTATGTCTCTATGTAATGAGGAGGGTACTAGGGTGCACATTTAAGTAAGTAAAGGGTGTTTTGCACATTTTAGACTTGCAGATCCTAAATAGCTATCAGAGGGTGTGCTGTGGCTTCTTCTGGTTCTTGTGCCACCCTACAGAATCTGGAAATCATTCCTGGATTTAAAACTTGGGGGTGCTGTGTGCATCAGGAGTCTGGCTCGGCTTTCAGGCCTAGCAATTAGGAAAAGACAATCTCTCCCTGTAATCCAAGCTTCTGATTTCAGAAGCAATCGTCCTGTACCTTCATAGTGTGGATCTCCCTGCTACCTACGCATGCGCACCCAAGGTTACTTGCTGGTGTAGAGTCTTGCTTTTAAGGGCGTCTTCCTGGAATCCATTTTAAAATATGCCATGTAAACCTGCTGGATCTTCCTGCACTGAGATATCCGCAGTAGTGCAGATGCTGAAGGCTCAGAGATGATCCGAGTTGTGGCCATGGGCTGCTTTGAGAAAGGGCAGACCTCAGGTTCAAGATGACCTTTCCAATCCAGGTCCAGCTGATACTTATAATCATTCTTAAGCAGTAAAGTCCTGCATGCTTTCTCCAGACCACCAGAGAACAAGTCCACAATACCTTCGTCCTCCTACAGCATGTTACATGTGAAACAGGGAGAGAGGGCGCTTTCATCCTGTGCCACCTGTGTGCTGCATGGTGCCCG